CACCTTGAAAAAAAAAGCATGCTGGCTGAGGAATTCTGGGAATTGAAGTCCACCCATTTTAAAGCACAGTAGCTAGGGAATTGTGGGAGTTGAGGTCCACCCATCTTAACAAGCATGAATTCCGCCCATTTTAAAGCACAATGTCTAGGGAAATGTGGGAATTGAAGCCCACCCCTCTTAAAAGTTGCCAAGGATGAAAAACCCTGCTACATCTTTATACTAAAACAATCACACCTGGATACGTTCCCACGTCAATCTTGTTGATTACCAAGCCGATGATGCTCTCACGCTCACCCACCCACCTCACCCGCATCTTTCCTTCGTCAGGCCGCAGACCCCATGCGCTCCTCATACCTCAACGACCTCCGGAGCAAGTTTCTGATTGAGAACAGCGTCCTCAAGATGGAATATGCCGATTCGCGGGTGGTGGACCTGTCCCAGAAGGTAAGTTGGCGAGGAGAGCCGGGAATGAGAGGGATGGAGGGGGTCCCTGCAGGTGGGCCGATCTAAGAACCAGGTAAATTTCTAAAGAGCATCCTCGGAAAACGGCGAGGAACAGGACCGCCTGGTTAATTCTTGGGGTTACCAAAACAGAAGTGAGGTAACTCTTCACACTTTGTAAAGAGCCACCCAGATGTTGAGACCGGATTTGGAATTTTTGTCCACCTGTCCGGTCCTTCCCAAGGACCTGGGATGGACAGATGTGGTTTGTTTGATGGTGTTAAAAATGCCTTGTGGTAGGATGTCAGCTCTTCCAAGTCTAGCTGCCTTCTGCAATTGACCGATGGGATATTTTTGTCAATGCCAAGGGAGCTCCGGATAACAGGTATTCCTCGATTTTTTACGGCTGCCACTGTCCCGAAATTTACCATCGCTAACCAAGAAAGTTGTTAAGCGGGTTTTGCCCCGTTTTAATGACCTTTCTTGTTAAGTGAACGCCTGTGGTTGTGAGTTCATCGCATGATTGTGAACCGAATCTGCCTTCTCCATGGACTTCACTTGACAAGGACATCAAAGTTGATCATGGGACACAACTCCGGGACACGGCAAGCACCGTCAATACATGCTAGTTCCCAGGCCTTTATTTTTACTTTTGATCACGTGACTTGAGGAACCACATGATCAAATCTCCTTCATTCCATTCCATTCCAAACTTCTTAACAGGGAGGACCACTCACCAGTGGAACACCCTGCCACCAGAAGTTGTGGCTGCTTCATCACTGGAGGTTTTTTTTAAGAAGAGACTTAGACAACCATTTGTCTGGAATGATGTAGGGTCTCCTGCTTGAGCAGGGGGCTAGACTAAATGATCTCCAAGGTCCCTTCCAGCTCTTTTCTAGTTCTGATTTTGACTTTGGGGGTGGTCGTTTCCCTCACAAACAGTGGTCAGTGTGAAAAACGGCCACAAGTCACTTCTTTTCAGTGCTGCTGTAATTTCACTGAAACAAACAGTCATAAGTCAAAGGCTAGCTGTATTCCTCACCTTTCTGCACACAATACACAACCAGAGAGAGAGTGTGACAGGTTTATTTTAGTTCTGGCTCAAACCCAGGACTCCTGTTTACAAAAACTGAGCTACTACAGATGTCAGCAAACCTGGCAGCCACTTCCTCCTTTTGTGGCTCCCAAGAAAATTGGTTCATAAGCTAAAGGAAGAGATGAAGTGGGCCAACTTTAGGGATGTTGGCCAATACAGAGGGCCTGGCCTGAAAATAAAACACCCATTTTTCTCCCTTGGGGGGCAACCAGACTTAAGTTCTGCGGGGTGGAAAGTCAATTTTTGGACTGCTTTTGGTTGGGTGAAAAATCTTATAATTGTGGAAGGAGAAACAGAAGGCTTTGGATGAAGGCCTTGGCCTCATCCTGCTAATTTTATTGTTGATTTCCCGATGCTTTTTGTAAATTTAGATTAACAGAGTTGGAAGGGACCTTGTAGGTCATCTAGTCCAACTCCCTGCCCAAGCGGGAGACCCTAGATCACATTTCTGACATTTCTATGCCATTTTTCTCCCAAGTTAAAACAGTCACTAGTGCTGGGTACAAATCTCACGTCGGTTGCAATCCCCGGAAACCTCAGCCTCGTGCAATACAGGTAGGCTTCGACCTACGTCCGCGACGGAGCCCAACATTTCCAACACTGAGCGAGGCTGTTGTGAGGTGAATTCTGCCTCGTTCCACGCCCTTTCTTGCCACCGCTGGGAAGCCAATCACCGCCGTTGTAAAGGTCGCAAAACGGAATCAGGTGACATATACACCCACCCAGGACGCTGCGACCATCTTTAAATATGAACCAAGCACCTGGAATTTTGATCAAGGGAACTTGTAAAAATGGTCGTGTCACATTTTTCAGCGCCGCGGTGACTTTAAGCGGTCGCTAAACGAGTCCTAAGTCAGGAACTCCCTGTATTTGAGAATGAAGGAGGATTGAAAAAAAGGGAGAATTTGTCTGCATCTGAGGTTAAAAATATGAAAACTATTAAATATTGATATTAAAAACATTTAAAAGCATGCCAGCAACTGATTGATAGGTGAGTAGGTTTTACCTGCCTATAAAGTCAGGTAAAGAGTTGGACAGGATTCAACAGTTAAAGTCACAGTAAGAAATTCTGATTTATTTATTTATTTATTTGGCTTTTCTTAGGGCCTGACCAGCCTGTGCCACTTGGAACACCTGTTGCTGGTCACACACCTGAACCTCTCCGATAACCTTCTCTCATCCTTCCCTCCAACACTGGCCATGATGCGTTGCCTCGAGGTAAGACCACTCCTCCCATCAACAGAGTCTTGAAACCATCAGCCACTGCTTTGCTTTCTGGGCTGAGTATAGGTTCTCCTCAGGTTAAAAGCATTTATTTTTGGGGGAATGTTCACATTTACAACAGCTGGGGCGGGGAGAGAGACTTAATCAGTCCTCAGAGTTATGACCATTGCAGCCTCCCCGTATTCAGCGATCATTTGACAGAAGAAACTTCCGGACTACGATTCCCAGCAAACCCAGTCGCTAAACGAACGGTTTCCAGCTGGCATGGAATTCTGGGAGTCGTAGTTCTCAACCTCCATACAGAGTAATGTTTCCTCAGCTTGTGAGGACTTCAACTCCCAGAATTCCCCTGCCAGCCGGAAACCATTCATTTAGCAACCGTTCAAAGGAGTGACAGTGCTGGAAAAAAGGGACTTAGGATCTGTCCTCACACTTACAGCCATCATCCCCCATACCCATAGGATCAAAATTCAAACTCTTGGCAACTGACTCATACTTATGACAGTTGCAGTCACATGGTCCCCCCCTTCCGATGAGCAAAGTCAATGGGGAAGTTGGATTTGCATGATTCACTTAACAACAGCAGTG